CGGAGTCTCTTGATTTCTAGGCCAGCACCTTAACCACTACTTTGTTTAAAAAGGAGGAAGGAATGTCGAAATAACTTGTAAGAATTGGAAACGAAAACAGGGTTGGAAGAAACAAACCTGCAAATCTGTAAACATCACAGATAACATTTCAGAATAATCTCCCATAGAATGATGCAAAAGACAAGAGAGGTTGTAGTAAATTACAATCTGAGATGGACCTGTTAGTACAGGGGTGTCAAACTGGATATCTTCGAGATCTGGATCAGCATCGTAGTATTCGTGGGTCAGCTGGAGATGGTGGTGGAGACATGATGGACACCTCCTGCAGCACTTTGCCAGCCAAAATGGGGCAGGTGGAAGCTGCACGAGGACCCCCTGTGACCCATTTTCAGCCTGGACAGCCACCTGCAGCACTTTGCTGGCCAAACCAGGACAAGGGAGGCCCCCCTGTGCCACGTTTTGGCCGGCAGAGTGCTGTAGGAGGCTGTCCAGGTCCCAGAACAGGATGTGGGGGCCTCACACACCCCTGCAGCCCGTTTTGGCAGGCAGAGTGCTGCAGAAGGCCGCCCAAGCCCCAAAATGTGGCACGGGGCCTTGCGCTGTCTCTCCACACCCCATTTTGGCTGGCAGAGTATTGCAGAAGGCCATCCAGGCCTTGTGTGCTCCCCATGCCCCGTTTTGGATGATAGAGTGCTGCAGGAGGCCATCCAGCCTGAAAATGGGGTTCTGGGACCGTGTTTGGCTCCTCTGTGCCCCATTTTGACTGTCAGAGGGACCATGGGCCAGTCCTCTGCTATTTCCAGACCAGCCCTGTGGGCCTGATTTAAGCACCCTGAGGATTGGATCCAGCCTGTGGGCCTTGAGTTTGACATCCTTGTGGTAATAAGAAAGCAGATTAGAATGAGCAGTAATACTTTGCAAGATGCATCAAGATGTTGCATTTATTTATTTTCTGAAGGAGAACATTCTTTTTATTTGAAAACTAAACTCACTCCAGCAAAGTGAACAGCTCAGCATGACAAGGAGTGGCTGGGAGGGGAGGGGCGAGGTGGGTCCAGGCGTAGTGAGGCAACCCTCAACATAAGTAATGTTGAGTTGGCCACACCCACCCAGTCACATGACCACGTACCCAGCCAGTCATTAAGGCAGAGAACCTTAACCGGTTGTTAAGTTATTTGAATCCCACCACTGGAGAAAAATAATGTTCAAGGACAGAATCTTCAATAATAACCCAAGCCTAAGAAGAAAAAAAAATGATATCCTGGCTAGACAGAATCGTTGTCTTAAAGTGAACTAATGCTCAGACATGAAATACAACAGTTTATTTCTATATTTTGTAGATCTAAGCAAAGAAGTGTTCTCGCTATGCAAATCATAATTTGATCCATGAAGATGTACTTAAAGAACCAACCACTGTTACTATGATGGTTTTTCAATTTTAAAAATATCTTCTGCATCAATGCTAAGGAGGACTTGATTTAATCTGAATTTGACCTTTGAGAAAAGTCATTTATAGCAAACCAGTGCATAGCACTGCCTTATCTTAGAAATTATATCACCCTAAACTACAGAACATCTACAGTATAATGAAATGAAATATTCAATTTGTTCTGTCTGCAATGTGCCAACATTTTAATATGGATTTATTTTAATACAAAATTTGAAAGAGCAGAGTCTCTTTCCAAACATACAAGATCCTTCAGAGCTGCAAAAGGGTTTATTATGGATCTTTGTCATATAGCAATGTGTATAATCTGATCTTTTTAGGAAATATGAGACTACACTAGTTTTAGAAAACATTTTTGACACAGATATCTCAAACATTTGTTGAAAATGTCACTTTGTTAATTTGAATGATATTTTTTCCTCTTAGAAAATGAAACTTGGCAAAAATATTTCATTGATTCTCCAACTTTTTGCCCTCTTTGAATATTTAGTCTTTGATCACTGCAGTTCAGCTGCAGTTTGGAAAGCCAGAAAGGCGAAAATACACAATGGAGGGGGAAAAAATGTTAAACCTGAAGGGAAAATAAAGTTAAACCAGTCTTCTGTCATCGAGCGGGAGAGTAATGTGATGTGTCAGTTTTCTGGCTTCTCTCCTGGCAGGAAGGTGCTTTCAATAATTAGTTTGGCCCATTGCATCCTGGAGATGGGGTTAGAATGAAATTTCAGAGAACCCCAGGGTTGGCCTCAAGCCCGGAATAAACCAGACTAGACATTAGGTAAAACATAATGACACTCTCTCATTCTGTGGTATAGGCGAACCTGTCTGAATATCATGTTAATCCTTCGCTAGAAGAAGAAGAAAGGGTAAAATCTTAATGTTGAAGAAGAATTTCAGACTGACCTCATTAAAATTTGGATTTCTGCATTTTGATGAAGTAATACTCTATTCTGGGGGTGACTTTTACCAGATTAAAAGAGGGCTCATCTATTCAGCTATTAACATGTTTATTTTCCCTAAAACAAACACATTTAAATTCGGAGGAAAGTATGTTTGCGTAAAATGCAATTTATCATTAATGCACTTCAGAAAGAAGGGTGGATCATGTTACTGTCCTGCTATTTTCCCCTCTAACATAGCATCAACTAACGGCATATAGAAAGGCAAGATTGGGGGCACAACCCTTACGATGTATTTATTAACTTTAATTTTTAACATTAAGTTCATGTTTCTCAAAGCAGAAGGTTGTACCAAATAGGGTAACTTGGTTGGATGCATTTGAAGATGGTTACAAGCCAAGATTTGAAGCTGACCCAGTATCATAGCCTTAGAATCAGGTCCCAAGACACAAATCGAGCAGGCCCCACCAGGCATTAAGTCAGCAGATTTATTGATGGCAGGCCCTTCCTTTATCAATACAAAAATCTCTTCTGGTTCTTCCTCAGCCAGTACTTCTTTGACAAATACAGGTGATGAGAAGCTGGGAATCTGTCAGTTCTGCAAGGGAGGTCAAATCAGGAAACAAACTTCATTGGAAGATTAGAGCAATGCTTTATTGAAAAGGCTATGTAATAGAATCTTGCAAGTCTGCCAATATTTTGCCTTCTCTCATTTGTACTAACCCATTGATTGTCAGTCTGAAAGCCGGCCCAAATCTCTTCTTAATATAAAGCTAAAGAAAGGCCATCTCCATGATTCCCTATAGGGAGAGATGTTTAACTGATCAAAGTTTCTGCTCAATGGTTGTGGATTAAAACCATAAAGGGACTGTCTTCCATTGCTGGAAACAACTTTAGCATCCAGATACAGACACTGTGTTTCATGCTTTCTTGTCTCTAAGCACTTTCAAGATACCATTTTCTTCCTCTTCCTCCTCCTCCTCCTTCTTTTCCTCTTCTTCTTCTTCTTCTTCTTCTTCTTCTTCTTCTTCTTCTTCTTCTTCTTCTTCTTCTTCTTCTTCTTCTTCTTCTTCTTCCTCCTCCTCCTCCTCCTCCTCCTCCTCCTCCTCCTCTTTTCAAATTACAGACAGACTGATTGGGCTTTGCATCTCATCCTCAACCACAAGTAAGCTGTCTTCCATAAGCATATTTTCAAATATTTCCCTAATACCATTTCTGCTTTTGCCTGTCCCACCTACCTATACCCATACTCTGTCTTGCCCTATTGCTGCTAATTCTTCAACCAAACATTCTTCCAGTTTGTGCCTGGCATCCTATGTCATGATAAGCACAATCCTTGCTCATACCCCTTGTTCCCACACTGCTGGACACTCCTAACAAGTCATCTTCTCAGTAGGTGACTGATCACTGGCATCTTTGCAAAACTCTCAAGCCTATCAGCAATGGAGACATTTGTCCCTTCTTCGAAGGCCAAGAAATGAAACCCAGGGCTAAGGCTGATTCTGGCCCAAACTGGATGTAGCATAAGCTAAATGGATTTAGAGAGGAGTTTGTTGGCAGACAGACTCTGACTATCTAACATTGCCTGGAAATACAGCAGGGGGAATAGGACCATTGCAGGTTGGAGGAGAATTGTTATTGAAAAGATTCCTTAGTCCAGTGTAGGAGGGAAGAATGAGAAACTCAGAATAACTCTAATTTTGCTAAGTAGGTCTGGAGAACAGCCTTGTCAAGCATTCAAAAGTCTGTTATATTACCCTACTAGCAAAACAATTGTTCCCAGATAGTTCTTTCTAGAGGTAGTCTGACTTAAAAGGCATGATTGAATCCTGTCCTGTATCACAGGTCAATCTCCCATTTCAAGTTGATCTCTCCTGCTATATGCCTCCAGACCTGTAGATTATTAAAGTATCATTTAAGATTGCAATGAAATCTATTGAAGAATCCATAATCACATTTATTAGATTTTTATCCTACCTTTTTTATTTTCATAAATAACTGAAGGCGACGGACATAAATGGCAATAACAATAGCACTTAGACTTACATACTGCTTCACAGTGCTTTATAGCCCTCTCTAAGCAGTTTACAGAGTCAGCATATTGCTCCCAAGAATCTGGGTCCTCATTTTGCCAACCTCAGAAGGATGGGAGGCTAAGTCAACCTTGAGCAATCAGGAACAAAGTCCTGGCAGTGGGCAGAGTTAGTCTGCAATACTGCATTCTAACCACTGTGCCACCACACCTCTAATAATATGTCCTATTTTCTCCAGAAAAGCAATCCTGTGAAATAGATTGAACTGAAGAGAGAGTGACTAGCCCAAGATCACCAGCCAAATTCCATGCCTACGGCAGGACTATAACTTACATTCTCCTGGTTTTTGGCCTGGTGCTTTAACCACTAGACCAAACTGGTTCTATATTCTAACTGGCCCATCTTTACCCACCAATGAAAAGTAAATAAATACATTTTTAAGATACTGACATGAAAGAATTTTAATGTTCCTATGAAAAAAAGAATTATTTATGTTTTGGATTTTAAAAAATGCCAAAAATCTGATTGGACGTAAGAAGCATGTCTCTTAATTGGCTACCCTTGTGCTCTAGAATGTTCCACAAATGACAGGCCACAAATCAGTTAACTTTTAAAAGATACCCAGCTTTTTTTCCCATGTGTTTGGATCTAATTTAGTGGAGTCTCCTTTTGGTTACCATTTAATTATCCATTTGGTCATCATTTTGGAATGTATGTATTGGGGTATTCTTTTTTTATGCTTATATTTCTTTTCCTTTTTATTGTTTAGTTTTGCTGTACCCACCCAACATCACATTGTTTAAGTTCAATGATCCTATAAATTCATGAAATAAAGAAATAAATATTTGGTTTCCGAATGTTTTGTGACCAGGCTAGGTAACATCTTCAGCAGAGTTTAGGAGATGTCAGTGTCAATGTTCCTCTGTTTATAAGGTTTTCGTGTGGTCAGTCGAAGAACACTGACATCCCCTAAACTCCACTGAAGACATTACCTAGCCTGGTAATGAAATGTATGGAAACCAACCCACAGGCTCAGAGAACAAACCTTCACATACACATACATACACAAGCATAATGTTTTATTCCATCAGGCGGGCTTGGCCTAATTTCTTCCCCTTTTAAATATGTAAATTTTAATCTGTTTTTAAATTATTGGGGTGTTTTAATCTGTCTGGGCCAAAATGATTTAATTTGATTTTATCTGGTTTTTAAATTTTTTGTATTTATGTATTTTATTGTTGGCTGTTAACCGCCCTGAGTCCTTCGGGAGTAGGGCGGTATACAAATCAAATAAACCTAAACCTAAACCTAAGCACACACACACCTGTGTATGTATGGAGATAGATAGGTAGATAGATACACAGATGTTTTTTTGAAAAAAAATATAAACGTCTGTGCTTCTATTTATGAGTCTTAAATTAAATTGAAATCTCAACACAAATTATGTATTGATAATTTGCTGAATATAGATTAGAGAAACAGCTATAAAATGCAATTTCAGTTGATAAAACTTGATGATTAAAACTTCCATTAAAGCTTTAGAGCTAGATTAACACTATTAAACTGATTATTATATGAAGACTAAAGTATATTAGATCAGTTAACGATAATGTTTATGGCAGGTTAAACCCCTTTGAATATTTTTGGCCAAACGAAGGTTACCCTATGATGATGATCAGGGTTTTCTACCAGATTTTCAAGTATATAATTAGGTTTGGTTTAACATCTGTATTCTTTTGGCTGAGACCTTTTATGAATATTCCCCCCTTTGGGCCTATTTGGAGAGTGAGTGTTTAACAACTCTGAAGTCTTGGCAGGTATATTAAACACAGGTCTTTGTTTCCAACATTGAAAGCTGCCAGGCAGATGAGTTCATTAATACATAAATTAAATAATACATAAATTATTTCATTTTGATCTTGAATCAAATGTTAAATTGACAGCATGGAATGAATTAAATTTGAAAAGAGCAGGAAAAAATATTTTATGGGAAAACTTGAATTAAACAAGGGATTCCGTTGATAAATCAGTTGGTTCCCAATGGTTGTTTTGGAGATTTTGAGAGATTCTCTGTTCTTTGAACATATGATCTTGAACATTACTTGCCTCCAACATTCACTTTGAAATATTACATTTAAAATATGTGCCCATTAAATTGCATATCATGGATGCCCTAACAGACTGCAGGCACCTTCCTTAAGAGATGAAGTGCTATCATGGAAACCAGGAATTCAATTTTATTCAGAATTGTAAAAAAAATGAAATGAAAGTTAGCATTAATTACATTTCTGAATGGTGGAATAAATAATTGAAGATGCATATTTAGAAAAACAATGGTGTTAACAAAGGTGTTAAACGTAAGATATGTTTCTTATGATTTAAAAAGGAAATCAATTCAACAGAAAGTGCAATTTCAAAGAAAAAGGTAATAATAAGAAAAAAATATATAAATATTTATGTGTGGATTTGGCATTGTAATAAATTGAAAATTCTTTTTTTCTCCTGTTAATTCATGTGTTATTTTTCTTCTCTTTTTACTTTGGTCAGTTTATTTTTATTTTTCTTATCATCTATCTATCATCTATCTATCTCTCTCTCTCTCTCTCTCTCTCTCTCTCTATCTATCTATCTATCTATCTATCATCTATCTGTCTATCTATCTATCATCTATCTATCTATCATTCATCTATCTATCTATCTATCTATCTATCTATCTATCATCTATCTATCTCAATTATAATTTCAAAGAAATAGAAAAAGAAATAATGCTAATACAAATAGATTTAAAAGAATATATAAAATAAAATCAAAAATAGAAACAATATAAGTAGCAAAATACATTGAACAACCAACAAACCAACATTCTAATGCACTATTAATTACTTAAAATATTATAGACATTTCATACCCAATTTGTAATCAAGACATATAATTCTAGAATCCAAATTTGGACTGTAGCACAATTCTACATATAAATTATAGTCCAGAAATGATTTTCAAATAAGATTAAATTGTACAACGACTTAGTTTTTTTATATGAAGTGATTCTGGACATCAAAATATATTCTCATCATTTAATTAATATTTTTCTATATGAGGGACCAGAGATCTTATCCAATAAAAAGCATATAAAATCCTTGTAGTTATTATTATATAAAATGCCAGTTCAGTGTATTTTGAAGAAATGTGTGGTGAAGCTTAATAAAAAATATCTCAGTTTGAAATGGAATTATGACTTTCAAAATGTGTTCCTTACTATGAATAATTAATTTCCAATATTGTTTAATTTTGCAACATTGCCATCACATGTAGCAGAAAGAGTCCATCTGTTCATTGCATTTCCAGCATTTCACGGAAAGGGAGTTACTAATTTTAGCAATCACAAGTGGAGTAATGTACCAGCAATAAAACATACCAGTTCTCTCTAAGTATGATGCCTGGGGTAAATTTAATATTCTTTTCAATTGAGATCCCCACTCTTCCATCTTTAAAACTGTATTTAGATTTTGCATCCATTTAAGAATGCAGTCTTTGACATGTTCAAGTTCTGAGTCATATTTTATTAATAGATTATAAATTGTGCCCAGTAAATATGCAATATTATGAGATCTTGAAATTCAACAAATTTCTCCATATTTTTTCTTGTTAGCATAATTTTCTTGTCAGTATACTACTTTAGAACCAAATGAGTGGGGAAGAATACTGTACAGCGAAGAGTTTAAAGATCTTGTTAATAATAAAAATATTATATTCTAAACAGATTCTTGTGTTTCCATTAAGCAAATTTCTTAGTGCTTTCTTAATTATAAAGGTAGACATGAATAGAATAGAATAGAATAGAATAGAATAGAATAGAATAGAATAGAATAGTTGGAAGGGACCTTAGAGGTCTTCTAGTCCAACCCCCCGCTTAGGCAGGAAACCCTACACCACTTCAGACAAATGGCTATCCAACATCTGCTTAAAAACTTTCAGTGTTGGAGCATTCACAACTTCTGGAGGCAAGTTGTTCCACTGATTAATTGTTCTAACTGTCAGGAAATTTCTCCTTAGTTCTAAGTTGCTTCTCTCCTTGATTAGTTTCCACCCATTTCTTCTTGTTCTACCCTCAGGTGCGTTGGAGAATAGCTTGACTCCCTCTTCTTTGTGGCAACCCCTGAGATATTGGAACACTGCCATTATGTCACCCCTAGTCCTTCTTTTCATAAGACTAGACATATCCAGTTCCAACAACAGTTCTTTATATGTTTTATCCTTGAGTCCCCTAATCATCTTTGTTGCTCTTCTCTGCATTCTTTTTAGAGTCTCAACATCTTTTTTACATCATGGCGACCAAAATTGGATGCAGTATTCCAAGTGTGGCATTATAAAGTGGTATTAACACTTCACATTATCTTGATTCTATCCCTTTGTTTATGCAGCCTAGAACTGTGTTTGCTTTTTTGGCAGCTGTCGCACACTGCAGGCTCATATTTAAGTGATTGTCCACTAGGACTCCAAGATCCCTCTCATAGTCACCACTATTGAGCAAGGTACCACATATAATGTACCTGTGCATTTTGTTTTTCTTGCCTAAATATAGAGCTTTACTTTTTTCACCATTGAATTTCATTTTGTTAGATAGCACCCAATGTTCAAGTCTGTCAAGATCCTTCTGTATCTTAAGCCTATCTTCCAGAATGTTGACTATTCCTGCTATTTTGGTGTTGTCTGCAAATTTGATGAGTTCCCCATCTATCCCCTCGTCCAAATCATTGATGAATATGTTGAACACTACTGGGCCTAAAACAGAGCTCTGGGGTACCCCACTGCATACCTCCATCTATGTAGATGCAGTTCCATTGAGAACTACACGTTGAGTGCTGTTGGTCAGCCAGTTACGAATCCATCTGGTAGTGATGCTGTCTAACTCACATTTTTTTATTTTATCAAGTAGTAGGTTATGGTCTACTTTATCAAATGCTTTATTGAAGTCCAAGTAAATTATTGAGGAAGGAAACACACACACATACAAAAACACACACGTCTGTGTATGTGTGTATACAGTGTGTATGTGTATATATGTATGTATGTATGTATGTATGTATGTATGTATGTGTATGTATATATATATATATATATATATATATATATATATATATATGAATGAGTGTGTGTGTGTGTGTACACACACGTGTGTGTATATATATATGTACACAGAGCTGAGGTGGCGCAGTGATTAGAGTGCAGTACTGCAGCTACTTCAGTTGACTGCTAGTTCAGCAGATCAGCAGATCAAATCTCACCAGCTCAAGGTTGACCCAGCCTTCCATCCTTCTGAGGTGGGTAAAATAAGGACCCAGATTGTTGGGGGCAATATGCTATCTAGTATACTGTCTTTGGTGTAAGCCACCCAGTGTCCTGGGAGAGTGGGTGGCATAGAAATATGAAAAAGAAAGAGAGAGAGAGAGAGAGAGAGAGAGAGAGAGAGAGAGAGAGAGAGAGAGAGAGAGAGAGAGAGAAAGAAAGGAAGGAAGGAAGGAAGGAAGTATATATACATACATATATGTATGTAGGTATACTGTATATGGTTGTGTGTGTATATGTGTGTGTGTGTGTGTATACACATACATCCATACACACAGTGTGTATGTACATATGTATGTATCAGGGCTTGGTTCTACTTACCTTTACTACCAGTTCGCAATGGGATTGCGCGTGCATGCTTGCTTCGCTTGGGCATGCGCCTTGCTTGTGCGCAAGAGCCTTGCTTCTGCGCATGCACAGATTGCTTCTGGTGACATCAGGGTCTGTGGGCGGAGCCTCCCGCCGGTTTTACTACTGGTTCTATAGAATCTTCTATAGAAATCTTCTATAGTAATCTTCTAAAATACAGAATAAAATTTGGAACCTTAAATAATTTTAATTCAACTAATCGACTGCTGATGTCTGATACATACTTCTTTGGCAAGAGGCAAAATAGCCATTTTTCAAGGAAAATATTCCATTTTACAGTTTAAACTTGACATTTACACTTCATATTAATTCTGACTTCTTTGTTTGGATGAACTCCAAGAGGAAATGGCTGGGCAGAAAATTGGTTACACTCTTCTCACACTATCATTTATACATAAAATATTTCCACAGAGCAATATATGAGACAAGAGTAGTCAGCAAATTCTGACATTGGGGTTTTGTAGATCATTAAAATAAACACCAACAAAGATCTGGCCATATGTTTCTCTTTGGAATATTTATGTTTTCTCTGTATGAGAACATTATCTCTACTTACAAGGTTGCAATGTCCAGCAATGAATGGAGAAGGAGACATTCCTAGAGGGGTCTTGCTAAGCCAATAGGACCTGAGTAGTTGCTGCCCATATTATACCCAGACTGATCTCTGAGATGCTCTAGACTGTCTTCCTAAGAAGTTCTTTATCAGGAGAACAACTGAAACAATTGAAGGCTCTTCTAGGAAACTTCAACAGGAGCTGGAAGTCAGGTAGAGCCATAGCAGGAAACCATAATGTGATGCCATTAGGGAAGGGCAATCTTTGGGGGAACCTCTTTCCCTGAATTATTTACTTTCTAGATAGGTTAGTATTATAGATATTTAAAACAGAGATTTCACTATGAAAAATATTGCACTGAATCAATTGGTAATCAGCCATTGAATTTCAGTGATGCAGTATTTAGAGCCTCTTAAAAAAGAGTCAAAGTGGCATGCGGCCCATGGATTCTCTACCCTTCAATAAATTAACATGGCTATTATTATTTATTTATTTTTTTGGAACCTGTACATGTGTTCAGTTTTGTTGAAATCTTATTAGCTGGGCAGATAGTAATCAAATACCTTTTATATGTCCAAACTCTTTTTATAAACATTTTAGAAGGTTAAGAGATTTATAGGCCTAGGTATAATAATAGACACCCAAATGTAGCCTTTCAAATGTCAGTTTACATATTTAATAACTATTATAACTATAAATGGCAACAGACCATGTTAAGAGCAATAAACATGCCCTGAATGCCATAAACACAAATTGCACAAAATGTTAACAACTTCTTTGTCCATCAGGGTTAGTCAACTATGTAAGGAAACAACACAATAGAAGTGAACCATATTTCTTGTGGACACAGCAACTTTATGCATTATCACCTTACAAGGTCATTTTCATTCAAGTAATTCATGGATTATAGCCTTCTGTAAGAAATGCTGGCTATATTTGTCTCACTATCATTTTAAGCACATAATAAACTATGTTAATACTAGTCGAAACACATAAATAAAAATTCTGGTTTCATTGATCTAGTAGTGCTATAGCTTATTGGAGATTCATTAAATATTTTGCTTCTTATGCTTTAGAGACAGGCTATTAATATCACTCATGGAATACATTTCATTAATCCACTTTTTTGGGGGGAAAGCCCCTGATGATTAACATATAATTCCTGGAAATCACATTCATACCTGTTTACAATAGTCTTTGGCTAAAAGTACTCAATTACTTATCTTAAGATATTTTGATTTCCAACTTGAGATTTCTAGAATTGTTGCCTAACTTGACAGAACTTTAATTAATTAAAAAGAGAAAATACATACAATAAGTATTAATAATATAAGGTGAATTTATTATTTTTTTAATGTACATTGACACATACACGGATGCTTTAAGTATAAGCATCTTGGTCTTTGATACATGAATTTTCTGCCCCATACTTCTTGTTGCCTCATATTATATATCTCATATTTTCTGCTAGTAAATTGAACTATTCTTTATTAATTTATCCATAGGCACACTAAAAATATCATATAGAAGCAAAAAAAATTTCCTTAATTTACTGTTTGTTCAGTGTTTTCTAAGTATTTCTTTCATATGCATAGGTTTTTTACTCCATTATACTTATTGCATTCAGCAGTCAATCTTCAATTCCTTATTTGTGCAAAGCACCCATAATTTTAAGCCTACTTTTTCATGCATTTTCTAAAATACATCAAATTTACAATAAGATTTCTTTCATTGGTTCATACATTTCTCTTTTCTCTTTTACTGAAGAATAAAAATCTGTTGGAAAACATGTTGATCCCAGTCATTGTCCTCTGGACATAAAACCCTTCTAAATTTTACTCATTGATACTCTTAATAACCCCATTTCACATATCTTTTCAGGCACTTTTAACCAATTAGTGTCTGCATTCGATTGTCAGATTCCAAGTAATGTACCTATCACAATCAGAACTCCAAGGCAATCAAAGAATAGGTTTATTCAGATACATCATCTTGGCCCAAGTCAGTACTGGTGGAAAGCCAGTACTGAAGGTTCCCGCGCTTTCCACCACATTAAAAGTAAAAGTTTCTTATTTTCTCAAAACAACAAATCATATTTTCCAATCGGGATACTGGCTGGTTGCTTGGTGACTTCTCTCCTCCTCCTCTGCCTATCAGCCATTGGAATGTCTTTGACTCATAAGAGAGCTATGTTGTTTTGGCTGCAAAATTCCATCTATCTCTACTCTCCCCTTTCAACTCCAAACTGTGTCAACCTGAAACCATGTGAGAATAAACCCCGATAGAAACAAATGCCCCAACAAGAAGGGATGAACCACAGCCAGGTCAGCTTCAGGCTTGACATGTTTATTTTCCTTTTTATAAAGGCACATTTCCCATATTTTAATTTTTGTTCCGTTATCTATATCTGAAGAGGTGGGGTGGAAAAAGGACAGTTTGTCCTTCTCCTCCTCTACTCTGGACTGGCATAAAGTGGGCTGAACTACTTTCAGAATCTAAATTGGCTTTCAAACCAATTAGATGATCCTTACATAGTCCTATTATTTAGTTGTTTTCATCAGTATTTCTGGATCTATAGGATGAGAATATTTCCCAATTCTCATCCATGTGTTGGTCCACAGGAACATTTATGCTAGAGATTGGCCTGAAATTATAATATCTGTCCATTAAGGAACAATATATATTTTTTTCCACTACAGAAAAAATACCAAGAAATATAGCAATGAGACTTCTCTCCCCCCAATTTCTCAGTGATTCAGATCCTGGAACAGTTCAGAGGAACAAGAAGGCTTAAAAGGATTATAATGAAACATTAATGAGGTTGTGTGACAAGAAGAATAATGTATTTTAATTTCTCATCCATATAATTCTTTTGTTAAAAAAATAAAAGCATTGTTCATAATGTTTCACTGTTTAAAATATGTAAACTACACTTTATTTATAGTTTCTTGTTGTTTTTTAATTTCCTCCAAAAAGATCTTCAAGGATTTTTAAAAATATAACAAAGTTCATAAGCCTTTTCCCCATTTTTCATCCTTTGATATAACAGAAGCTTAATGGTTTTTATGATAGAAAACTTTTAAAATCCATTTGTACCTGATCGTTTGCTAATCAATTAATTTCTCACGTACTTTATGAGAAAGACATGAGAAATGTGTTCCAATTATTGAATTTTCTTTTGTTAATAGTTGGTGGTTTTGCTAAGAATAAATTACTTTTTGAAAAGTAGATGTGATTTAGTGGAGGGGGAAATAAACTTCCACAATATCAAAGTATGAAATGTAAACTCATTTAATAACATGCTTCAGCTGTTCTGTTTCCATTCTAGAGTGGAATTATTCTTGTAAACTTTGTTTTGCTCAAATTTTAATAATGTATATAATGTGATGCAATATGCCTATACTTTCCAAAAACTGATATCATGCATAGACTACAATGAACAGTGTTATTTTCACATATTTGATCCTTTTTTCTATAGAACCAGAGGAACTTTAAACATTTTTCCTAGATGACTAGACCCTTAGGGGCATGTAACTATGTACATTTGCATCTTGAAAGTTCTTGCTGATGAGGTTGTAGTTGTACCTCACCTTTGTACAAATGGAATTTAAGTAGGCATTTACTTGCTTTTCGGCACATACAGTAGATGAAATTAGAAACACCAGATGTTTTGTCTTAATCAGGGTGTGGTCAATTTTTAGATGCATCCTAATGCTAGGATATAGCTACTAAAATAATAAAGCACTTTCCAATTTCACATCTGCTTTGTTTAAGATACCAAACATTTCTGTATCAAACTCCAAAGTTGAGAAGGCATTTTCAAGAGGCTCTTTTTCTATAAAGTATGCAACTCAAAAACTTTGTTTAAAGAGTTGATTTAAAAGCAATTCTAAAAGGAAGGTAATATGATATTGATTGTTTTTTTAAAAATCAATTCATACACTGGGTAAGAAATGCTATGCCTACAAATTGTTTAAACTTTCTTGAAAGAGGAACATTGCCAACATTACTATGAAAACTGAATAATGTTTGAACTACAAAGTGTATGTGAAATAGCGTCTTGGCACTGTACGAAACTCTGATTTGTATACTGCCCAACAATTATTTGTTTAAACATGGTTTACTAAATAAATTACAGTTGCCTGCATTCATTAAACAAATTTAGCCACAGGTTAAATTATTTAATTATGGTAGCTGGGTTCATAAAATATGCTGAGTAAACCCAATAGTCATTGTTTTGTCCAGTTATGGGATGCATTTACTAAACACTTGGATTAACAATTATCATTTTACTTTCTCCCTCTTAACAATTAGCTTCTGCATACATTTCACTTCTACTTTCCTTTCTTTTATCCCTAATGAAATGCTGGATTCTTCAAGATTGCTAAAAGAGACTGCCCCTATTCTTTGTGATCTTTCGAGAAAAATCAAACACAGTGATTTTAGCAAAGTGGGAATGTTTAATTTATTGGGATGAGCAGATTTCCATGTTGTACATCAGGGGTGTCAAACTCGATTTCATTGAGGGCCGCATCAGGGTTGTGTTTGACGTTGAAGGGCTGGGGGTGGATGTGACTGGGTGGGCATGGTCAGCTCGACATCACTCGTTGCGGCTCCGTTTTCAGCCGCCTGTTGCAGATGGCCTCCTGCAATCCTCTGCCAGTGAAAATGGAGCTCAGGGAGGCTATGTGTGTGTGTTTTTTTTTTCTGGCAGTGGGCTACAGGAGGCCATCACAGGTGAAAATGGAGCCTGGCAAGGTCATGTGCGGCCCTCCTGGGTTCTGTTTTTGCTGGAGGAGACACCATGGGCTGGTCCTTCACTGTTTCCAGGGTGGCCCTGCAGGCCAGATCTAAGCACCCCACAGGCTGGATCCGGCCCACAGGCCTTGAGTTTGACACCCCTGTTTTACATCATGGATACAATTCTAACCTGTAGACACTTAATTCCCCATCATTTTTGTCCTACCTTTTCATTAAAAAAAATGAGGAAAAAAAATCAAACCACACATTAACATGGTCAAAGCTCCAAGACAGTTGAGAAGTTCCCAGGAAGAGCTGCATGCAGGCATGCATAGACCAGCTGGATGATAAATTAATTGAAGATTTCACTGGGCTCATTTAGACGCCCTCAAAGGGGCTTCCCCAGTAAGCAGACATTCAAAGCTTTTTGTTCTTCAATATGTTCTGGGATTCTGGATATGAATTCTCATCACTCTTCCCATGTAATTAAGAGCTTCACAGACCTTCTTCACCTTGCTGAATGTCTACTTTCACCTTCTACTTTTATGTTTTTCATGCAATTCTGGTCTCTTTTCCTGAGCAGAAATGTGCAACTATCTTACAAATCCTCTGAAACAACCATTTCTTCGTGAAATATTCCCTATTCACTAGTTTAGTTTTTGAACTAGATCTCAACACCTAATGTTCCCATTTCTCCTTTTAAAGCTGTCCTTTTTCACTTTCATTCTAGACTTTTATAATAGCTATATTCAAAATTTAACATTATTATATTTCTTTATATTGCATACACATTATCAAGGTTTAGCAACCTTTTCAGTTCATATATTTGAGAGGAATGGAAGTAAACCATAGATTTTCCAGGGCAAAATGGTTTAGTCTATGTCATACATATAGGGTAGAATGGGATGTGATGATATTTCTCTCCCCCTCTTTTCCCATTGGCTTTTCCTAGTGGTGCTGGAAAGGGGCGTTGGTCCTACCTGATACGTACCTTCTCGTTGGGTGGAGACAGCAGCCAGGAATGGGTGGTTCTCGCCTGTTCAGTTTGAAGGACTGAGACTGTTGCAAAAGTTAAGCTCCTCCCTTGTTGCTAGGGATCTCCAGTTTTTACGAAGATGAACAATAGCCTCGACGTCTCGGGAGAAGAAAGAAAAGTTAGAAAGAAGACCAGACAGTCCAAGGGTGGGGCTGGCTGCTGTCTCCACCCAACGAGAAGGTGCTTATCAGGTAGGACCAATGCCCCTTCTCCATTGTGGGAGACAGCAGCCAGGAATGGGACATACCAAAGCTTCGTGTCCCAACTACAGGCGGGTCCCAGTCTGGTTCTATGTGTCTAGATCATAATGAACCTGCTGTAGAACCCTGCAGCCAAATGCCACCTCCGCCGATGCAAACTGGTCCAGTTTATAGTGCCTCACAAAGGATGAAGAAGACATCCAAGTCGCCACCCTGCAGATTTCATTCAAGGATGCCTGCATGGCCCAGGCCGCAGAAGTAGCTGCACTGCACGTGGAATGCACCATCAGACGGGAAGGCCGTGGCAAGGAATGCAGTTCGTACTCCTTGGCGATCACCTGTCGAATCCATCTGCCAATGGTGGAGGAACAGACCTTGGCACCTAAAGACCCTGGAATAAAAGAAACAAACAAGGACTCTGTCCTGTGGATGGCCGCAGTCCTCTTGAGATAAATACAAAGGGCCCTCTGTACGTCCAACATATGCCAGCGTTGTTCTAAAGGGTACGCTGGATGCGGGCAAAAATTTGGAAGAACCAGGTCCTGCATGCAATGGAAAGTCGTATTGAGCTTTGGGAGAAAGGTGGGGTCCATACGAAGGACCACGTGGTCAGAATGAAAAATGCAAAGGTCACTACGTACAGAAAGGGCGGCAATTTCTGAAATCCTCCTGGCGGAGGTAATTGCCACCAAAAAGGCGACCTTTCATGAAAACAGCCGGAGGCTGGCAGTCTTTAAGGGCTCATAAAGGGCTCCCATAAGGGAGTTCAAAACAATGGTTAGATCCCAAGTGGAATATCTGTGCACTATGGGGGGACATAAATTAGTGGCCCCCCGTAGGAACCTATGTATGAGAGGGTGCTGAGACAAGGAGGTAAGGGATCCACAAGTGAGGACCACAGAGATAGCCGTCACCTGTCTCCGTAGAGTATTGGGCAAAAGTCCCCTCTCGAGCCCATCCTGGAGGAAAATCAGGATGTGAACAATTGAGGCCTGAAGGACAGAAACCCCCATATGCTCACACCAAGCAGAAAAGGCCCTCCAAGTGGCCGAATAAATGCGGTCCATGGATGGCCTCTGGGACACTTGGATAGTCCAGTTAACCCTGGAGGGAATGTTGTCCTTACTCATAGTGCACCGCTCAAGTGCCAGGCGGTCAGTTGTAGCCACTGAAGGTCCGGGTGGAGCAATGCCCCCTGGCTGAGCAAATTCACAGACTGAGGGACCTTCTGGGGGGGGGAGGCACAGACAACACTTTGAGATTGGCAAACCAAGACCACCGGGGCCAGTGAGGTGCTATGCACTCTCCTCCAGTATCTTCTGTACCACTCATGGAATGAGTGGCAATGGGGGAAAGGCATAAAGAAGTCATTCAGCCAATGACAGTGAAGAAAGTCCACTCAAAAAGTCCATCAAAGATCGCAGATGTTGCTCCGCCCATAGACCCAGTCTGGAAGCCTCCAACATGAGGCCCTTGGATCTGGTGCCCCCCTGGTGGTTTATGTGGGCCTTTGCAGCCACATTGTCAGTGAGCACCAACACATGTTGGTCTGTCACCAGTTGGCTGAAGTGTCTGAGGGCCAAATAGACTGCACGCAGTTCTAGCCAATTGATGTTCCTGCATTGATTGTGGGCTGACCACAATCCCTGACTGACCTGCGTCTGAAGATGGGCCCCCCAACCGGAAAGGCTGGTGTCCATCGTCAATACGAGACAGTGAAGCTCATGGAAGAGCCGCCCTTTGGAAATGGCTGGAGACCTCCACCAGGTTAGGGACCGTCTGATGCTGCGGGGAACCTGGACCCTGGCTTGGGAATTGTCTTTGCCTGCCTTCTGAAAGGGCAAGAGAAACCATTGAAGGTCCCTCGCATGAAGGCGAGCCCATGGGGTAATGTGGATGGCCGAAACCATCTTACCCAGTAAGGTAGACAGTAAGGCCAGGGG